CCCAGGCTGCTGGAGGCTGAGATACAATGTGATTCGCAACATTGTCCAGTAAAGGGCTGGCAGGCAGGGGGGGTGGCCCGGCCCTGCCCCCCCCCCCGGGGAGCTCAGCTTCCGGTGGGCCGACTGAGGACGCTCTGAGGGTCAGGGAGAGCTGGAGGGCAGAGGGGCAGGTGCCAGGGAAGGGGCCAGGTGCTCAGATCAGAGAAGAAGCCGGTGTCAGTTGGGGCACACCCAGCCCTCCTTCCAGGGGCTCACCCTCAGGGGACAGAGAATGTCCCAAGGTGAACTGCGCGTTGATGGGGGAGGCCTGGGATGCTCCAGAGAAGCAGCCACCCCTCCTGAGGCACCCTGGGAGAACTGCCAAGAGGAGGTGGGAGGCACACAGGGGTCAGCTGGGAGCGGGCCAAGTCAGAGGAGGGCAGCCCAGGCAGAGGGAAAGCCAGGTGACGAGCAAGAACTTTCAGGGTTCCTGAAATGACCCGCGTGACGCTTTTCATGCAGAGCGAGCTCAGGGCCCTTGACCTGTATACCTCTTCTAGCATCTTCATTGTTAGAATTTGATGGCTGAGAAGTCCAGCGTCAAGGGGAAAAAGAAAGCAGAGAGAAAGGAAGGCAGGAGAAGTCAGCCGGGCCATGCATGCCCAAAGCGCCCTCCAGCTATCGGGAAGGAGCTGGGATCCCAGCATTCCCTCGCTTGACGACAATTACTGGGGGTCGAGCTCTGCCCTGGGAGCAGGGCACACAGCGGTGGGCAGAATAAAGCCCCTGTCCCGATGCCACTTTCAGCCAGAGAGGAGACAGACAAAGGACACTCAGCATCATGCAGTGTAGGTCACCAGAAGGGCTATGAAGAAATTCGAGCAAAAGACCTGGAAGCAGAGGAGCAGGCCTTGGGGCGAACTGAAGGAAAAGCGTTCCTGGCAGAGGAAACAGCATGTGCAAAGGCCCTGAGGTGCCGCGTACTTGATAGTGGAAGGTCTGGCAAGGAGCTGGGTGTGGCTGCAGCAGAGGGTGGGAGAGGACAGAAAGACACTCCAGGGCCGTGTCCCATAGGCTCTTGTGGGCTGTGATCTGGGCTTCGGGCTCCGCTCTAGGTGGAGGAGAGCGATGTGAGGCCCACGAGCGGGGCCCACGGTGAAAAGCCCGCTCTGGCGGTTGTGTGGGAATTCGCTAGTGGCGGTGACCACACAGCTGGCTACTGCAGGAGTCGAGGTGACGGATGATACTGACCTGGATGACGGTGGGAGCCCTAGAGGTTCCAGGAAGGGGTCGGGTTCTGGAAGCAGCTGGAGGGTAGAACCACAGACCCTTCTGATGGACTGAACCCTGGAACCAACCAGGGAGGGGGGCACTGTATCATAGTAAAAGACAGGAGTCATGGGTCATCTTCCCAGCTGTCACTTGTCACACCTGCCCATCTCCTGCTGGGCTGTCAGCCCCAAGAGGACGGGAGACAGGGCTCATATTCACCAGCGCGCGTCCCCCCCCTTCCCCGTGCCCAGTGCAGAGCCCGACACCAAGCAGGTGCCCGACAAAAATGGAGTGGTTCGGGGGCACCTAGGTGGCCCAGTCGGTTAAGCGTCTGACTTCGGCTCAGGTCACGATCTCGCGGTCCGTGAGTTCGAGCCCCGCGTCAAGCTCTGGGCTGATGGCTCAGAGCCTGGAGCCTGCTTCCGATTCTGTGTCCCCCTCTCTCTCTGACCCTCCCCAGCTCACGCTCTGTCTCTCAAAAAATGAATACACGTTAAAAAAAATTTTTTTTTTGTTTTAAATGGAGTCGTTCAGGGGGACACGGCAGGCAAGCCCCAGGTTCCACCTCCTGGAGGCAGCAGGGTGTAGGAGAGAGCACTGTACCAGGGGTCTGGAGACCTGGGGGCCCTCGCCATTCGTTCTCTCATTCACGTAGCAGGGCCTGTGGGTTCTGCGGGGAAGCAGGGGTGAGGAGGACGCAGGCCTGTCTCTCCTGTGGGGGGAAGAGACGAAGCCAAAAGCCAGGCATCCTGGGGATCTGACTGCCCAGGAGAGGAGGCGGCCTACTACCCAGGGCCTGGGGACCCATCGCCAGGCTGGTGGCCTTGCACGGGGCCTTTAGGGATCCCTGCAGTCCTCAGACGGAGGGCGTGGCTGCACAAAGGTGTGGCTTTGTGGGCCTGCAGGGTGACGTGCGGGATGGGAGTTAGGGTTACGGGAGAAGGTGGGCATGGAGGGTCTTGGCCGCTACAGCAAGGGTTCGGAGGTGGCCACGAGGGCGTTCTGAGCAGGCGAGCGGTTGGAGGTGGGCAGGGAGTGCTGCCCGGTGACAGTGTGATGGCACGTTGGAGGAGACAGGAGATGGGGACCCCAGGGAGGAGTCCTCCCAGGGAGGAGTCTGCCCCAGGAGCCCAGGTGGGAGGCAATGGGAGGTCCCGATGAATTGTCCCCCCTGCCTCCCCGTCAACTTGGGCTGGATCCAACTTGGGCCGATCTACCTTGGGTTTCTGCCCAGTGGCTTGCTAATACTGGGCTCCTCTGTGATGCTCACTGTCCGCCCCCCCCCCCAGATGCGAGTGAGGGACACTTAGGAAGAAGATGAAATCCGTGGAGTGAAGGTCTGGTCTCGGGGTGGGGAGGAAGGGAGGGAGGCCTGCTGAACATCCCACCTGGACTGCTCCCCCCAGGCCTCCCTAATAGACCTCTGACCTTCTCCGGGCCTCGTTTTCCCCCCCCGCCTGTTTTACCCCGATGATGCGTGAGCCAGCAGAGCATAGGGGTGGGGCTACTCTGCTTGGGTTTGCAGTCTGTCTGGTTCTGTTGCTCTAACCAACTGTGAGACTGCCAAGCCAAGCAGCTCAACTCACCTCTGGCTCCCCTAAGTCCCCGTGGCGGTGTGAGAAATCCTGCAATAGCTCCTTGGTGATCCAGGCTCAAGAGTATATAACCAGGGGTGTGGCCACCTCTGGTGGCAAAGCGGTGGACCTGGGCTGAGAGGACCTGGGCTCTCGAGCCAGCCTGTCGGGACGCCAGTTTGTCACCAGGGTTGCTGCGACGCTGGGCCTTTGGGAGGCGGTGAGGCTGCCCCGACCTTCGCAGGATGTGCACCGGCCATCTCGGCTGGCCAGTGCCCCGTGGGTACGTGGCTGGAAGAGCCTCAGCCCGCTGAGGTTGCCAACAGTCCTCCTCCTTGCACTCGGGGAGGGACACTGTAAGGGTCACTGTGGCTGGTAGCCAGTGACTTAACGCCATGAAGAGGAGCAACGGGGAGCAGGGACATAAAGGAGGAGGCCAGGGGAGTGAGGCCCCCCTCGAATCCAGCCGGGAGAGCTTCAGCTTCGCTGGGGAGCCCCATTTTCAGAAAACCCACTGTATGAAAACCTAAGACACAGCCCCAAGGAAAGCCCTTCCACCCCTCACCCCCACATACACATCTGGGGTGTATTTATTTTAAACATTTTTTTTTCAACGTTTATTTATTTTGGGACAGAGAGAGACAGAGCATGCACGGGAGGCAGAGAGGGGAGACAACAGAATGGGAGAACAGGCTCAGGCTCCAGCCATCAGCCCAGGCCATCAGCAGAGCCTGACGCGGGGCTCAACTCCCGGATCATGAAGATCGTGACCTGGCTGAAGTCGGACGCTTAACCGACTGCGCCCACCGGCGCCCTGGGGTGTGTATTTTAAAGCCACAGTGGCATTTATGGATGCAGTGAGACACTTCTCGAGGGTCTAGCATCCTGACCCTGCCGGTGGATGGATGGCTAAAGGGCCTTCCCTGAAAAGCCAAATAACACCCAGAAGTTTCCTTGGGGGGTTCCGAAGATACAGCCGCAGACCCAGGGCACTGAAAGCGGCAACATCCGGTTGTTATGAAGTCATGATCTGTTAATGAACAGCTCATTTACAGGAAGCAACCCAGGGTCCTGGCAGGAGCAGGGAGACAGAACCCCCCACCCACCCCCGGGCTTGATCCTCATCTTCCTGCTGTGTGACCCTGGGCCAGTGTGGCTTAGCCTCTAGGGCGTTGGGTTTTTCATCTGTAAAACGGGGCTGATCGTGAGTGACAGATCCTCAAACCGCATTGGGAAATTGAGCCTAGGAAAATCCCGGACTGAGCTGTTGCTGTAACGCTCCGGCCGTCGGCTTCCTCCTCTGCCCAATGGGTGCGGAACCTCGAACGGTGTTTGGAGGTTTGAGGCAGACACGTAAAGTGTCCACACAGCGTGGGCCCGAGGAAGGGGAACGCAGAGGGACAACAAGCCCCACGCCCCTGGGTGAGCAGATGAAAAGTGTTCCCGAGACGCTCGATGAATTTTAGTTTGTGCCTCCTCTGGCCCGAAGACACTCTCGGCTGGGGGGGGGGGCGGG